TCTAGAATCCAAGTTTGGTGATCTCGTGGCATTTTCACCGATGAGTGCGGCGCACGACCTTTTTAAATTGATCTCTAAGCTTTCCAATGGCGCCCACACTTTCGTGTATGGTACCAACTACGGAGCATTAACGGTGAAACGTCTCATGCATCTCGCCCATCCTGAAGTTATTGGGTACGTTCTGGATTCGCCAATGGTTACCACGGGAGATTAGAATTATTTTCAAAAAAGACCTTATCGATAACGAAGTGGCAAGAACTTTTATGGAGCGTTGCGATCACGACCGTGTCTGCAGCTCCCATTTTAGAAAACCGAATACGCTAATTGCTGCGTATCAAGATATTTTAACCACTCTCGACAATCAACCTGACTCAGCGTGTTTTGAGATAATGAGCGCTATGAATGTTAACAATCCAAAATGACCAGCCTCGTACAAACTGCGAAGATTTTTTTTCAACTCTGCTTTCAGACCCAGTCTTGTACACGACAATCCCTCATACCGCCTCAAGCGCTGTCAACCCCATGATGTGGAAGTCTTGACGATCTTCATTAACCGTATCATAGATACTGGCTACTTTAGTTCAGGTCCTGGCGGAAAGAGCCTGGAGATATTGTGTCACCTCATTCTGTTCTCGGAGTTGTGGGAGAGACCGACACCTTCGTTAGCAGAATTGAGAAAGCGCTTTACGGACTCTGTCTCGGGATGGAGCATGTACACTGCAGTTCCTTTGTATTGTGCTTTCTCAAAAGAAGAATCGAGTGTGTGCGATGAGTACAATTTTGGAAGTATGACGCTCGTGCAAATACATATAAGCGCGACAGATACTGTAATGCGAGTGTTACAATTCCTAGTCAGGCCAGCGTTCTAGTGCTGAGCAGCAAGATGGATACGTACCCATCGAACAAGTCTTCGAAGCTCCTAATGGAGTCCCTTACTGGTAAAAGGAAGGAGCTGATCACCTTCGAAACTGGTACTGGCGCAACTTTGTCAACTACAACCTTTCAATTGAGATTTCGATCGCTGCACACATGTGGATTGAGGATAATTGTATCATATATCAAAAGTGAT